CGTTCAGAAYTTCATAATTCRYRAARCATCATCATCCGCATCRATTRAACCTCARAAAGTGATCAAAGGACAAACAGATTCTACCCAGAATCATATTAGAATCCCTCACATATCCAATAGTCTACCAGTCTCTCTTTCATTATAAGATCATCTTCAGGAAAGAGAGAGCAATAAAGAAAACATGATTTCACCACCTCTCCATTTAAACTATCATAGCTATACTTCAAAATAAGAAGTATTTCATCTTCCATTCCTAAAAATCTGCAGCCGATAATGTCAAAACATCGATTGCACGGTGCCATTCTTCTACTGTAGTTTTGCATGACATAGTTTCACCGATAACGTTAAGTGCCAATGGTAGGCCAGCACATTTTACAGCGACTTGTCTTGCGAGATCCGGAATATCTTCATGGATTTTCAATGTCTTTTCTCCAACTTTCTTTTGGAACAACTCCGATGTTTTGTCTGGATCTAGACAACTGACTTCCATTGAGTCATCAACCTCCATGCGTCCACACACATCCCTAGAGCGAGTGGTGAACACTACTTTGCATCCGTTCTTTTCATTCGGATAAGGGACACCAATCGTCGATAGATTCACTTTTGCCCATATATCATCCAAGAACAACATAAATTTCTGTCTCTTAAGAACATTGTATATGTCAAGGGCCCTATTGTTTTCATTTTTTCGTCCCACTCCCGACCCCGAAAGCCTAGTTTTTTGGCTATGTCTCCTTGAATCTTATGGATGTCTAAACTTTTAGACATCACAACCCATATCACAACATCAAAGGTGCCCCTTGTGTTAGAAAACTTATTGTTGATCTGCGTGATAAGATTGGTTTTGCCAACTCCGCCCATACCGTACAAACCCATAATCCCAACTCCATCTTCCATGAGACGGTCCCATACCCTTTCAAGCAATGTCTCTTGACCAACAATTGTGGGTTGAATAGGCATCTCTTCAACCTCAGTTACATGATGAACTTCCTCAGTCACCACATCAAATTCTCCTTGAGAACTGACAATCTCCACCTCCTTCAACACCCGGATAACTCTTTTGCCATAACGATAACTCATTTTCACGTTTTTGGAGCAGAGTCCACAAAAACATAACCTTTGCAGCTCAACGCTACTAGTTCTAAGCAGATCACTGAACTCATTCTCGACGGCAAGGACGCTATTAAGCCATACCTGAACTTGAGCAAGCCTTTGACGACGCCTTGTAAACTCTTCTCTGTTAACACGTCCTTGCACATCATCTCGCTTTGCCTTGAGAACTTCCATGTCTTTTTGCAGAGCCCCTAGATTGTCAGAAAGGTTGTAGATATAACTCCCCTTGATGCTTAAACATTGAGAGACTTGATTCACAGCTTGATCACATGGTATGGAGATCAAGAAACAACTTCCCATTGCTGCAA